CATTCGTGCTACCCTGCTCCTGCATTTCAAATGTCAGTTCTTTTGGTAGAAATAAGGAAAGGAGAGAACACGGGCTACCACTACAGGCTGCTTTTACTTAAGATTTTAGCTTTCTGATTTAGCAAATGAATCCAACAGTCAGCATTTCTGTCTCAAAACTCCTTATATATAAATAGAGAGCTGCACACTATCTGCTACCAGATTTATGCCCAAGCTAAGTAAGATAGGGTATGTCTACACTAAAGCGTTATTTCAAAATATCTTATTTCAAAATAGTTATTTCGAAATAGCTATTTTGAAATAACGCGTCTACACACAAAATGCATTTCGAAATAGCTTTTTTGCTATTTTGAAATAGCGCGTCCACACTGAGTGGACGCTGAATCGCATTTTAGGCCGGCCGGAACCAGGTCTGGCAGGGCATCAGGTCAAGAGTTACTTTGTGTGGCTGCTGCCTGAGGCTATCTGAGGCCTGTGCTTAAAGGGACACCCCCCCCCCATAGCTGGCTCTCATCTTTCCTTGCTTGCTTGCCTACCTCAATGAGGGACAGCAAAGCATTTTGTCTCTGCGTGCTCTGGTTGCCTTCACTCGGGACACCACAGCACTCTGCAACATGGAGCCAGAGCTGCCCCTGGGCACTCTGGTGCTTCTTGTGGACTTCTCGTTGCTGCAAGCCGTTGGGCACTCTGGTGCTTCTCGTGGACACGTTGCTGCGAGCCTGGCTGCCCTTCCTGCAGGCTGCCATCCGGGAAGTCCATCGGGGGGCTGTCAGTATCCAGGAGGCCCTGAGGGAGAGCTTCCACCCTGAGGAGCACTAAGAGCCTCCCTGGTCTGCCCCACTGGGGGCTTGTGCCCCATTCCTCCCTCACGTCCTTCCACTTACCCCTCCCTCATCCCCCTTCCTGATGTCAAATAAAATACATGTATTTTCATGAACACAAACTCTCTTTATTTAACAAAACTGGGGGGGGGGAGACTGAAACTCTGGTGAGACTGGGGAAAGGAGGCAGGAGAGAGGAGGAGAGAGGGTGGGAGAGGGGAGAGTGAATCCTTGGAGGAGGGAGCTAGACAGGGGAAGCAAGGAGAAGGGGAAGCTCAGGGCTCAGGGTTGAGGGTCTCGCCGGACCAACTTGATTTTCATGCAAACCTGCTCCTGGGTTCGTGTGTGGCCTTTGGTGGCCAGGCTGGGCAGCTATCCTGCCCTAGATGACCGCGTTCCTCCATCTAGTGCAGACAGGAGCGGCCTGAGGGCGGCTGTAGCAGCTGGCGCCCCAGGTGGAAGGCGCGATCGGCGCCCCCGCCTGCACGGCTGTCAATGGCTGGGGGATAATCATGGGGTGGCAAGGCCAGCAGCGCCCTAGGCGACCACCTAGTCTTCCCAGGCTCACGGGCCGCCCCGAGTGCAGAGATCATGGACATTGGGGGCATCCCCCCCAAACCTGAATAAGATCCATGATCTCCACCCTGGACCAGGAAGGCGCCCGCCTTCTCCGGGCCCTGGCAGGCTCCTGGGAGCTGGCAGACTGCTCCTAGGGAGCAGTGGAGGGCTGGCTGCCAGTGGCTTGCTGGCTCATGTTTTGGGGCCACTGGGTCAGGGGCAGTGACTGCTGGCTTTGGGCTGGCAGGTTTTGAGCTATCACAGGCACTGTGGCCAGAGTCTTCCCCTTTAAGAGCTCCGGGGAGGGGGGAGGGAGAGGAGTGTTCTTGGTTGAGGCTGGAGTGATACCCTGGGAAGGCTGGAGGCCCCCTATTTCGATATAAGTGTCTACACAGCACTTATTTTGAAATAGCTATTTCGAATTTGGCGTTATTCCTTGTGGAAGGAGATTTACCAAATTTGAAATAAGTGCTCCGCTATTTCGAATTAATTTTGAAATAGCGGTTTGGCTGTGTAGACGCTGGTAAAGTTATTTTGAAATAACGGCTTTTATTTCAAAATAACTTTGCTGTGTAGACATACCCATACCCATACAGTTTAGGGACTCAGATTATGAGGGGCCTCTAAATATAAAAAAATTACTAGTTTTTAGATGCATCGTTTCCTATATACTGGTACATATGCAGATATAAAACTTTACAATTTCTATTTTCATTCACCTTTCCGTTAGAAAACTACATATTTTCGGTAATGCTATGGGGCTTCTTAAACTTGACATCGCTTAGGGTCTCAGTAAGTCTTAATCTGGCCCTATTCCATATAGATATTACACTACAAAACTATGGGACTGTCAGGTGTAACCTACTTGCAGAGCTATCTGTTGCAGAGGAAAAAAAAGTCTACTGGTTCCTTTATGAAGTATCCCTAGATTAACTTCGTCCTGCATCAAGTGCTTCAGGGCTCTATTAAATGAAAGCTTTCCAAGTACCCTTCCAATGTAAAGTGCTTAGCAGCTGATTTATCTAGCAATACCTTCCTGTAACCCATGGTGACCGTGATCAATATTTCGCTTTCTCAGCTGCAATTCTTGGCTCAGAAACGTGTGTTTTAGAATGATACCGAATTCCCTACGGGACAGTAGGAGCTTTCCAAGGATTCATACCTGGTATTGACTGGGCTGTTGCCTCTGCGGTGTTGGCAGGAGCTGTGTTGTGTTGCTGCTGACTAGAGCTGACTTCCGGCTCCGCGCTAATTGAGGGAGACAATGCTACTTCGGAGGCTGGGACCTGATTTGGCACGGGTTGGAGGAGGTCTTCTGAAGCAACTTGCTCTTCCTGTCCAGGGAGCTGGAGGGCTGACAAAGGAATGCTAATCTGTTTGCTGGTACTGGAAGTACTGACTGGCATCTGGAGTGCTACTTGTTGGTTGGCAGTAGGGGTGCTAGCGGGCCCCCTGTTGGGGGAAGCCAGAGTTACTCTGGTGGGCTTCTGAGCTGCAGGCCTCGATATGACAGGGGGAGAAGCAGACACGTTTCGTAAGTCCAGCTCAGCACTGAGAGAAGGGGCTACAGCGGGAGTGGGTTTGGAGGGGCCAACACAGGAAGGTCCAGCATGAGACTGAGGCTTGGGTTTTGACATTTGCGTCAGCGATAATGCAGGTCCATCGATGCCCCCAGTAAGTTCTGCATTAGCCACAATATAATAATCTTCAGGGATTTCTTGCTTAATCTTCTTGACGATCACGTTGTCACTGCTTTCGTCAATGACCTGAGACTGGGAGCCTGAAAGAGACGACGAGGATTGGCCCGCTCCTGGCCTTTTGCGGGAAATGGATTGAGATCTTTGGGTATGAGGTTCAAAGTCACTATCCTCATCTGTCACTGAGGACTCGCAGACCATATCAAAGAGAGTAGCCTCGTCTTCGTATTCTTCCACAGCTTCGTCTAGCTCTGAAGGCTCACTGCAGTATGAGAAATCACAGGAGTCTCTGGTTCGGTTACAATCCAACTTGGCTTTCACTGGTCTCCCGGGGTACCTCTCTCCTGGGCTAGTTTGTGTCTCTGAGGGCACACCTATAATGCTGGGACTGTCCGAGTTGAAGCTTCTGTTGTCCTGGAAGCATACTCTTTCCTGGGACCCAGCCCTGCAGGTAGCCGTCAGTGGCCAATGATATGCATGACCAGCGCTACAGCCCCACATCGCTGTCAGGTTGCCATGGGAACCCTCCGAAAGCAAGTGCTTTAGATTTGGAATGAGGCTGCAGATGGTCCCATGGCTGTGGGCCCAGCTGACCAGTTTGGAAAGGTTTTCAGAAGAGGTATGAAGGCAATCCTCCATGTTATAGGATCAATAACTGCTTTCCTAAAGAAAAGGAAATTAAAGGCAATTATTAGGCTACATGTTTTCAATAGGTGTGACCGTGTACCCTTAAATAAGAACATAACACATTTTCTACAAATAAAGAAGCTGAAGTTTACTTCTATATATTCCTTATATAAAACAATTTAAAAGGCAAATAACCATCCACAAATAATATAATATCATATAATATGCTCTAAAAGACACTTTTCAACACAGCATTCATCTGTAAGCACCATCTCATGCTATCTATAAAATGCTGCCTTCAAACCATAGGGCAAAAAAGAATCTCTCACTGCTCCTCACATCAACAGTGAGATAAAAAAACAACAGCTTTTTTAAACAAGCAACTTTGCTACTATTGACAATCTAATTTGACATGTTGACACTCAAATCTAAAACAAGTGCATGTACAAATCTTTATATCTGATGGACTGAAGAAAAAGCCCCCAAAACACTTTAAAAATTATAGTTAATCTGAATTTGAAACTAGTATTATAGGCACAGAGTCTAATCTTCCACACACACTGGTCAGATTTAATGTTATTCTTGAACTATTTCACATGCATCTTCCTTTTTAAAAAAATATTCTACTGAATATTGAGAATTAAAACTTCTTTCTTTATCAAACTTTCCAAGTTCAAATTTTTATTCCATTGGCATCCATAGCAAAACATGGCATTGGTCCCTTTCACAAAAATTTCTACCTAAAAACCTGTAACAAGAGGCATTGAAAACATTAAGGGTGTGTCTAGACTACAGAGTTTTGTTGACAAAAGTCCACTTTTGTCGACAAAACTATACCTGCATCTACACTACCGCTGAGTTCTGTCGACATAACGTCAACAGAACTCAGCAGTTTTGTCGACGCTGGTAAACCTCATTTTACGAGGCATAACACCTTCTGTCGACAGAGTTCTGTCGACAGAAGGTGTTATTGCATGTAGGGTTGTGTCTAGACTACAGGGTTTTGTCGACAAAGCAGCTTGCTTTGTCGACAGAACTGAATGTGTCTAGACGCTCTTTGTCGACAGAAGTTGTCGACAGATACTGTCGACAAAACTTCTGTCGACAAAACCCTGTAGTCTAGACGTACCCAAAGACTGGAAAACTAAAATTTCTGGCACTCCACACAGAGGACAAGAAATTGTTAGATTTCCAGTCTTTTTCTTGCCTCAAACATCATGTCCTGCTCACATTTCATCTTTCAAATAAAGTTACCTACACTCAGGCTACCTCTACACTGTGCATTGTTGCACGAGAAGATATGCAAATGAGGCTTATTTTCAGGAAGAACGGTTCCTGAACAAGAGGGGGGGTTTTGCGCAAGAAGGAGCAAAAATGGTGGCTCATTAGGTATGCAAATCAGGCACAGAGATATTCATTGCTGCACCTCATTTTCATATCTTCTTGCGCAACAATGTGCAGTGTAGACATAGCCACAAAGTCTCATCCCACTAGTGAGAACTGCTCCCATCCCCGACTCCTATTGACTTCAGTTGGAATTAAGCCTGCTAAGCACCTTTCAGGATCAAGCCCAAAGATGACTGAGGAATGGCAGTAGAGTTTACATCTGGCCAAGAAAGCATTAAACTGTCTAATAGATTTTATAATGATTTCTCAGCTCCTTGCATCTCATACAGTCATAAAAGAGACAAGTGGAGATGGGAGAGAACCTTCATTCACTTAAACAAACGGAAAGACTCAATAAAAAAAGTTGTAAATTCAGAGCCATGCGATGTTAGCATAGATATTTTAAAGAAAAGCAAGGAAATGGAACATAGCTGAGCTAGAAGCATAGAAATTACTTGGGAACAATTTCTATCTATCGTTTTTGGACTGTATTTTTTTTTCCTGAAGAGGGTGCTACAAGTATTTTGATACTGAAATTTTAGAAGTTAGTTTTCATGGCATGGCCCGCCAATGTGGAGTAGGGAGGTATAAAGTGTGCAGTTGCCCCTGCAGTGATTCTAAAGGGCCCAGGACTCTGGTCGCCGTCACTACCACAGGATCCCCACACCACGCACTCTGTCTGGTTCTGAGGGCCAGCAGCTGGAGGTGGGAACAAAGAAGGCGCACCATACCGTCTGGCTAGCACTAAGGGCTGACTGCCCCAACCCCACCCCTTTTTCCTGAAGCCAAACCCTTTCTGGGAATGGGGAGACCCTCCCATTGCCTATGGCTGGGGTGGGCAATAATTTCTGCAGGGGGACTTCTTCATGAATTGTGGGTAGTGGTGGTAGGCTTTCTGCAGGAGGACTACTTCATGAATTGTGGGTAGTGGTTGTAGGTCAGTTCCACCCCTGGAAAGGGCCAGTGGCTTGGGCAAAGGGGTGGGGCCTCAGGCGAAGGGGCGGGGCCTCAGGCGGAAGGGGTTCCCTCTAGGCGTTGCACGCCCCTAGTGGAAAAAGGAGACTTTGCATGCCCCCACTCCCAGGCCAATTGAGACCCAGGGGCAGGGGAGTGTATAAAGTCATTCACTGTTCAAATCGGCTGATGGCTCCTTCTAGGCGCCATTCACCCCCGGTGACGGGAGGGAGCTGTCAGCCGTTTTGAACAGTGAATTACTTTGCACGCTCCTCCGCCACTGGGTCTCGACTGACCTGGAGGAAGGGTGGCCGTGGGCCAGATCAAATGGTTTGGTGGGCTGGATCTGGCCCGCAGGCCATATCTTGTCCACCTCTAGCTTACGGGCCCAACAATGCTGTCATTTCCCCTAGGTGTGGTATGCTACAGTATATTGCTGTTCTCTAGTTGAATATAATATGTAGAATCAAAATTTCAATGTGAATGCTCACTTTTACTCATTCAAAACATGTCTTCCAGCTAGCATCCAAAGTTTGCATAAAGTTTACTATTCTGGCAAACAACTGTGCATTTCTGCCAGTAAACTTGTTCATCAGAATGTTTACAATTGGCAAAAACCCGGAAAGCAAATTCACTCAATTCATTTGTTGTGTTGATTGCAGTGTTTGTGAACACTACTTTGGACTGTATAATCTAACGTCAGCGTTCATTATCTTGTTATCCAAACCGTTTTACTTCTTTGGCCAGAACAGACACGAGGTCCAGGTCATCACAAGTTCATTACAACTATCTTCTTCAGGATAGAAACTGTGTAAGAACCCAGATAGATTCAATCGCAGAGCGCCTCAGAATCATTCATGCGTTGAGCTTTGTCATATGTCTGTGAGGTGGAAAAGGACTATTATTCCCATCTGAAGTTCAGCGAGATCATGGGTGAAACCTTCGTCTCAGGTAAGTGGCAAAACTCTTTGACCTTGTCTGTGTCAGGGTTTCCTCTTATGTGCCTTGAAATTATAGCAGAGGCACAGATTGAACTGCTGTCCCGCTCTCCTGTTTTAACCATCTGCAAAAGTAAGTCAGTTCTTTCAGCACTGCCATTTTTTGACTCCAGCCAGCAAGTTATAGGAACCAAGGAGCCTTTTTCTCATTGCCCTGCTTTAACTGTCAGAGTGACATGGCGGGTGAGGTGACATCTGTTATTGGCCCAGTCTCACACACGTCCTCTCTCCAGTATCCCAAGATGGCCGTGGCTGCAACCATACTGCTTTAATAATGGCAGCTATAGGGCAACTCTAGCCAAACTATGGCAGTGCTTAGAACACACGCTAAGCAAAAGCTCTGAAAAGAAGTTTGAAAACACTTAATAACCAAATTAATTCTTTAAAAAGCTAACTGAACAGTATCCTTTTTACAATGCAGTCTTATTTTTAAACTAAAGGCTATGTCGATTCCATGAAAGGTTGACCAAGAAGGAATGAACATAACTTGAAATGTCACCTTTATTTGGTAAAAAGGAAATTGAATTTAAATCTCCTGAGTTCTTCTTTTTCTAAGATAACAGATTAAGTTCATGTATATCTCTGTATTCTCGATCTTGCCATCTGCTACCTCCCCACAGGTTACCTAATCAGAATATATCTGTGAAATTATAACACTGTAGAAGAAGAAATACATGGGCCCTGATTTGGTTCTTACTTACACCTGGTGGAACTCCATTGACTTCCTGACCCAGTGGGCTCAATATGCGCAGACTGGGAGAAAGATATGCCCATTCTATTTCGTTCTTGTGCTTTCTCAAACCGATCAACCTGACTTCTGAGAGATGCCAAGCACCTACAGATACTGCTGACTTTAGCTCGAGTCACAGGTGTTTGCATGTTTGAAAATCAGGCCTTATATAGTTTCCTAAAAACCAGTTTAATGTGGAGCTCACTCTTACTTTATGTCCCATACATTCATCCATCCCCACACAAATATTTTAGAGGTAATAATAATATTGCTCAAGGACAAGCGTAGGGTTACTGATCTTCTTTTGATAATGCATCAAACTGACATTTAACCTACTATCATCTACAGGTGAATACATGACTACTCTGTGTGTCTCTCCAAGCTAAAAAAAAAGCTGTAAACATCAAGTACATTTCATCATTTGGAAGAGGCTGGCTCTAATTTAGGGCTCAAAACATACCAAACAGAATGCCTTTTTTTATAATATAGCATCTTTTATTCCGAACTGGCTTTGCAAACTGAGGCCCTGATGCCACAATAAGCTCTGTATATATAAATAACACAACAGCACATAGACAGCACCAAAAGCTATATCGACTTCAGCTACACAATTGACACACCTTAAGTTGCATAGCTTAATTCGACTTTAGCCCTGCTGTGTAGACATGCCCTTATAGTCTTGGTCTTCACAACATCCTTTGACAATGAGTTCCACAGGTTGACTATAGATTGTGTGAAGAAGTACATCCTTTTGTTTGTTTTAAGCCTGCTGTCCACCCTGAGGTCACTAAAACTACATGCAGGATTGGGAACTACATGCAGAATAATCAATACAATTAAGGGCCTGATCATGAAAAACTTGCTGGGCATATTCACTTGAGTAACCTCGTTATTTCCAATGGCACAATCCATGCTTGTAAAACCTTTGCCCAGGACTAAGAATTTGTATCATATTACTCAACTGTGCT